CCTAGATTCAGGATCCCCCCCCCCATTTTATCCAGTGCCTGGAACATTGTGTGGAACATAGTAGGCCCTTTATAAATGCTTGTTGATTGATAGATTGGTCTTTGCTCCAGAGACACTGCTCTATTATAATAATCTGAAATTGGATTCAGTTGTGTCTATGTTCTGAGTTCATGAAAATAAAGCTCAAGTAATTAGAGATGCTGTGAAATTTATAACATGCACAGATCTTGGTTTATTGATTTGGAAAAAGTGTTAATGAGTCCAAAAGTTTTATATAATGAATTTTAAGAATTTCCTAGTATCATGTCCTACAAGGTGATAAACTGGTGTTGAACCCAATGGTTGAATTTCTTTTTCTGAAATCAGAACAAAAAAGAGGGAGTTACTTCTAAACCCTAAATGAATTCCACTCTTCCAGGTTAGCAGGATATAGTCCACAAGAATAATGTTCATTTAAATAACTAGCAATGGGAATTGCCATAGCTCTTTAAGGTCCGCAAAATTCTATATGTGTCTTATTTTAATCCTCATGACATCTCAGCAAGGTAAGCACCTTGGGGATTAGTAGCACCATTAACTCGATTTAAATCTCAAAACTGGTAAGTGTTTGAAGCAGAAATCAAACCCAGGTCCCTTTTGCCCCAGCATTCTACCCACTATCTATGCTACCTTTCATTTGACCACAGGTAAATTACCCCAAATCAATGAAATCAAAGCAAAGTTAATCAAAAGCTCATTGAATGACCAACCATACTGGGATGAAGCAAAAGAAGGTGACCTTCTGGTTGTAAGGGCAGTGTGCAAAGTGGGATTTTCCATCATATTTCCTTTAGGTTCTTCAAATTGCTTTCTGTGAATCAATCAATCAATCAGTAAACATTTATTGTCTACTATGTGCCAGGCACCATACTAAGTGCTAGGGATACAAAAAGAGGCAAAAGACAGTCTCTGCCCTCAAGGAGCTTACAGTCCAATGGGGGAGAAAACATGCAAATGAATATGTACAAAGCAAGTATGTACAGGATAAATAGAAAATAATTAACTGAGAGAATTAGACAGGTTGCACATACTATCTGGAATAGGAGGCAGCTCAGGGGATAGAGCATGCGGCCTGGCGTCAGGAATACCTGAGTTCAAATCCAGCCTTAGACATTCCCGAGCTGTGCAACCCTGGGCTTACCCTCTATTTGCCTTAATGCATCAGAAAAGGAAATGACAAACCACTAGAGTGTCTTTGCCCAGAAAACCCCATCGACAGTATGGTCCACAGGGTCATGAAGAGTTGGACACAACGGAACAAAAAAACATGCTACCTGCACCCCAGGGTGAAGCAGGATTCACACAATTCTTTAGGTGAAAATACCATGGACACCTGATTCTGTCCCATCTAGCCTTAGCACCCGGTGAGGTACAGTATTTCTTTAATCCATTACCTTCTTTTTAAAATGCAAATTTGCATTATTGATCTCTTCCTGTTGTAAAAACCGCAAGTCAAACACGGATGATGAGCCGTCATCAACTTCTGGCATTCTTGGTAAGACATGCCACACACTCTATGACCTATCTGTGACTGCTGTGCAGGTTAGATGAGACACTCAGAGTAATTAACAAGGCAGAATCTTTTGGAATACATGGGGAGGGGAGGAGAGTGGAAAAATTCTAAAATGAGGAAATTCACACATTGTTGCCAATGAATTAGTGGAAATCATAAGATTTGTCCAACTCAGAATCTATAGGGGGGAGGGTTGAACAGTTAAAAAATATTTTTTTTCAAAAATACTATTTGGTAAAAAAAAATGATGTAAAAGGAAAATATTAAGGAGCGATAAGAAAATTCAAAAACAAAACTAGCCTCTGGAGGATGTGACCCTGACTTTCTTGTTGCTACCTGTGTGGATGCTTCTTTTCCAAAACATATCTCCAGGTTTTCTGCTGGTTTTATGTCCTTTAAAGAACTCCCATTTGCAATATGCAAAGAACTGTATGTGATATATAGAGCTTAGCCAGGGACCATATTTTATGCATAACCAGGATTAAGTGCGCTGATGATAGATGTCATCTCCCTGACATGGAAATACCCTCGCAAGCCTTCCATTTTCATAACTTTCCTCTGGGGGAACGTCTGAAAATTATTTAAGTTAAAGAAGAAAATGACTTGTTTGGGAACACATGTACTTTTTTTTTTTAATCATCTTTCGGTAATGCTGACCCAGCATGTATGCTAAATTACCGGCTGCAGTGGGAATCTCCTGCATGAAAGAAGAGTGTGGTTTGGGCGATGGGTCCATGAGGAATATTTTGCTCCAGGAGTGGAGACAGAAGAAAATGATCCAACTCCTGAGCCCCACATTAAGAACCTAGTCAGCTGTTGTAAATGCGTATCTAACAACAAACCATTACGGATCTTGGGCTTAATTACACGGGCTTATTACACACCTGTATGGGAGGTTGTATTTGCAATACTTGTGGTTTCCTCTATCAAAACAGCATTAGTATTATTACCAAGCTTATCAAGACCAGCTACTACAACTGGGGCTGGGCAGCTGGGGAATCCCTTTGTTTTACCTACAAGCCACATCACCTTGGAAAAGATACCACTCCTTCTTGACAGCTTGGAGTAGCCTCTGATAACATGGGCATTTGGTCCACTCACAGAAATGAAGGAATATTGGTCCAATCACCTGAGTCTTAGTCATTCACAAAGCTAGTCAAGAAGAGAATAAAAGCAGAGATACGACTGAGGAGATCAGGGCTGCTCCCTTCACTGGGGTGGATCCCAGTTCATGAGCAACTTCTCATGGTCATCCTGTACAAACCGCATCCAAGACCTTTTGCAAATTCTCCATGGGAAGTCCACCCAACGTGCCACATGCTTCCCTCTAGACCTCTTGACATCACTGTTGTTGTTCAGCCATTTTTCAGTTGTGTCCAACTCTTTGTGACCCCATTGAAGCTTTCCTTGGCAGAGATACTGGAGTGGTTTGCCATTTTCTTCTTCAGCTCATTAAAAAAATATATGTTCAGCTCATTTTACAGATGAGGAAATTGAGGCAGGGTCACAGAACTAAGTGTCTGAGGCCAGATTTGAACTCAGGAAGATGAGTCTTGACTCCAGACCTGTTGCTCTATCTACTGCACCACCTAGCTGCCTCTTGATATTACATGGAGACAAGTGCCCTATGAGGGCTGTCCATCTGTCATGCCTTGCTCTAGCAACTTGACCCTCTCACTGCCTTTTCTGGTCGCATATGTCTTAGACGATACTTTTGATGCCATTTTTTTTGCACACATTTTGCATTGGTTTTATATATATATATTATATGTATGTGTGTGTGTGTCTATACACATATTTACGTCCCTGTTTCTGTTCCTCATTGTCCTTTTAGAGCATTTAAGATGATTTTATCTCATTCACTTTCTTTCAAGCACACTACTCTTCAAGAATGCCTGCCAACAAGAAAATGCTGAAATTAATTTTGACTTTCCTACTTCTCCAAAGCTGTTATTTTTATAATGGTCTTATTAACACCATTCACTGTTTCTTCCTCCTCAAATTTCCTGGAGCATTTTGACTAGGTCTCCTAGTCAAGTACAGGGAATAGCCCCTACAATAGAATGTAAGCTTCTTGAGGGCAGGAAGTACATCATTTCTTATCTTGGTGTTCTCTTTACCTGGAATTAAATGTCTTTTTAACTGAATTCACAAAAGAAAGAAATATCAATTAAGAAATAATCTATTAATAAACATTGTTTTGAATCACATTAGATAGCCCATCTTTTACAATCAGTCTTGAGTATTTGAGGAGAATGGCTTACTCAATGTACACATGCTTGAGTAGGAGAGTCATTATTCATGAAATGTTTAAAGAAAAAAAACCAGGAAGACCTCCCGTGCATGGAATGGATCCCCTATGGAGGATTTGCAGAAAGACATGGACAAGAATACCCAGGATAAGAAGACCATAGGGAATGTGTGATCTATGCCAGAGAACAAAGTGTGGACACTGAGAAGATCACAGAGCCTTAAACAAATCATAGCAACTCTCTGGGCCTCAGTTTCCTCTTCTCTAAAAATAAGACCATTGAACTAGGTGGCTTCTTGGGTCCCTTACAGCTCTAAGGGTACTGACATATTGAGGTGGAGAATGAGAGATAGCTTTACAGTGAAAACACTCTGTAGTGATAAACCAAGGACATAAGAGGATTAAGTGGACTAAGAGTAAAAATTTTAAGAGTGATAAGTAGTAAATTTAATTGATCATAAAAATATATAGTTTGATTTTAAAATTTGTTTCCTTGAGAAACCCCACATATACCAAAACATTCATTATTGAATTTTTGGTGAGGTTTAGTAGCAAACAACTGGGATAAAATTAGGTGTCCATTGATTGAGGAAAGGTAAATAAACTGTGGCATATGGATTTTATTCAATATTGTTGGGTTGTAAAAAACAACGGATGAGATGAATTCAAAGAAACATGGCAAGTTTTGAATGAACTGATGCAAAGCAAAGGAAACAGAATGAGGAGAACAATACGCACACAAGCATGACTGAAGGGCAACATGGTGTTAGTGGATAGAGCACCTGGACTTCAAATCCTGCCTCAGATACTTACCAGCCATATGACCCTGGGCAAGCCAGCACTTAGCTTCTCTGAGCTTCAGTTAAATGGGGATAACAGCGCCTACCTGACAGAGGTGTCTTGAGAATTAAATGTGGTGTAATTAATAAAACACTGGACTTGAAATCAGGAAGACAAGTTCAAATTTAGCTTCAGACCCTTGCTAACTGTGTGACCCGAGGAAAGTCACTGAAATGTTGCCTGCCTTAGTTTCCTCATCTGTTAAAATGGGGATAATAAGGGCACCTGCTTCCCAGGGCTATTGAGAAGATCAAATGAGGTGATCTATGTAATTGTTGTTGTAGCTATAGATATGCTAGCTATTACTACTATGACAAGACAATAAACAAAAATACTCAAAGTCAGCCAAAGTCTCACCAATGAGTAGTGACCAATCTTGGTCCTATGGAATAGATCGTGAAACACACTTTCTTCTTCTTGGTCAGATAAAGTGACAGGGAACTGCAGGTGCAGCATGTCACGTACACGGCTACTCTCCAGGTGGGGTACATTTTGGTTAATTGTTTCTTGTTGTTGTTGTTGTTATGAAGAAGAGTTCAATGGATGGGGTGGATGGGGCTATATCAGGAAATGACTGTAGTATGATAAATAAAAAAGTTAATAACATAAGATAAAAAATAAAATAAAATCTTCATAATGTTTTTTAAAAAATAGAATTTATATCTCTAACTGGTTTGCACAGTAAATATACATGTCAGAAATTCATTTGCCCCTAAATCTATTCCACTTGGTTACTGTTGCCTTATCCAATCATTTTGCATCTATACTCTACCACTGCCTGTCATTCAAAGGAATGACTCATGCCTCTTGAGTTCATTCCAGCAAGACACCTTTCCAGGTTGGGATAGGAATGGGGGAAACATAAGGCTGCCCTGTGGAAGATATCACATGGGCTGAGGAACTTGACCCTATTATCATAATGAAAATAATACTGTTACCAAGGTATAAACAACAAATGGTGCCCCACGCCCTGAGAAAATTAAAATTCTATTTGGAAATCCCACTGGGCCCAATCCTAGTCCCAAAGATGAAGTCTGATAGCTTCTCAGGAAGACAAGAGCTTGGTAAAATACGGGGTTCTGCTCCATGAAGACATCACAATACAAGCATGAGGAGAGCAGCTGAATAATATTATTGACTTACAGCAGACATCAGGGCAGAGCAGATGGTGATATGACAAAAAAAAAAAATCAGCAGCGGTAACAGTTCCATCTCACCTACTGTCAATTGTAAAAATGAATTGCATTGCACTTATGGGCATAGGAAATGTGGTTTGTGTATATGTATTCACAACGTTGCTTAGACTAAAGCAGAGATCAAGTGCAAGGTCTCTCTATGTTCAAGTTTATCCATCTCTCCTCTAATTCTCAAGATTTCTTCTTTTGTACTTGTTTCAGGGCTGCATATTTATTTTTGAAGGTTCCCTTTTTGTAATTTTATGCCTAGTTCTTTGATCTTTTTTACCCCTGTTTTGTTAATATAAGTTTTCACTGCAGACATTTTCCCCCCAAGGAAGTAAAGATTAAAAATACCTCCAAATATCACATTTTCAGGGCTTTTCAAAGCAGAGCAGATAAAGTACTGAAGAAATACTGACCTAAATCAGTATCAGTTTTGAAATATCCATATCAGTGCAGAAACAACTACAGCTTTAGTTTTAACCAGCATTTGGGAGGGAGGGGGGAATGGAGGGAGAGAAGAGTCTTCTATATTTCATTAAAAGGAATTACTCTTGGCCTGTCCATTCCAGCGATATATCTCTCAAGGACTGTGCCTGAGAAGAATCTTGTCAATGGACCAACCAAGTAATTGTTAGGATCTTCTCTGATCTCATGAAGTCAGTGCTCTAGTTTGGAAAATCAGAAAATTATTTAATTGCCTCTGCCTTGTCTAGAAATTTAAACTGGGCCTTTATTCCATTTTAGGTTACTCTTTGGAGGAAGATGAACTGCCCTTCACTGAGGTATACAGAATTACATTATGCATTCAAAATGATACTACAAATTAAGCAATCCAATGCTACTGGTGGTTTATGGTAGAAACAACTGCAAAATCTCCACAGCTCACAATAAAATGTGGACTGTTGCCATCTGCCCACAAAACAGAGCCTGTTTCACAGTGGTTCCATCCCATTCCCTATCATTCAAGTGTGCCGCTATTCCAAAGGACAGGCCATAGTCATGCCTAGTAACACAACTCTGTCTCAATAATTCCACAGACTGACCATACGGATCATCAGTCAATCATCCCTTTTAGGAAAGAGCCACGAATCATTGAAGACAAGGTCCCGAGCTTTGTTCTAATCGGGCAGCCCATAAACGTATGAGGGGATGAAGGAATGTTCATTGATGCTGGACCTGTTGTCTCAGGGACATGGGATTAGGAACCTGGTGGGACGCTTGCTAACTCCTGTTCCCAGCTCATCCAAAAGTAGGAATGATGACCTATCATAACTCACACCAAAATCAAGACAATTCTCCTACTGAGCTCTAAACCATCCTGTCTGAGAAACTGCATTTGTGGGAATCCTAGGAGAACTTTCATTGACTTGGAGTTGGAAAGGACCTTAAAGGCTAACTAATCTAACTCCGGCTACAGCTGAGGGAAATGACCCAAAGAGATCAACTGTAAAGCCTAATTGGACACATGTAATAAGTGGCAAAACATGGATTCAAATCCAGGTCCTCTGATCACCACACTGCCACCCCTGCAATAGCTTCATCCGTGTAAGAGATGTACACCCCACAACTACACAACCTTTTCCTATCTGATTTCCCAGACAAAGCACACACTTCTCCTGGTAACCTGGCAGTGTGCCTTATACAACTACCCTGTCCCTCCTTTTGAAGGGGAGAGACAGTCTTCTATGTGGCCCCAAAGACACCTTTCCCCCTTTCCTGTCATGCCACACTTCTCATAAAAGTGAAAAAAAGGAAACAATTGCCATGATGAAAAATGGACAGTCTCAGAATGCATCTCATCTAATACAAGGGAAGGGAATGGAAAGAGAGGTTTCAATTCACAGAATGTTGCATTAGTGGTCCTTTTCAGAGCTATTTCTCTATGCCTAGTACAGTTCCTGGCACATAGTAGGTGTCTAATAAATGTTAAGTGGTTGATTGTTTTTTGTCAAGATCATATTTCACTATATCAAATTGCATGCCATCTTGGGGAGTTTATGGAAGTGATTGTTGATAAATCAAAATAAATTAATTTTCAAAAAGTAAAAAAAAATCATATTTCATTATTAACATTGTTTCACATCCATTTTAACCCTTGAGCCTCATCACAACCTTGTAAGGTACCAGCTCCATCTAATATCATTTCCTTTTTATAGATGAGAAATCCAAATGCAAGACAGATTAAGAGACTTAACCCAGGGACACACAACCAGTATGTATCAGAAGCAGGATCGGAACCCATTTTGTCTTGTTACCTCTGGTTAAGAACTTTTCTAATAAGGTGCATTTTATTTATTTATTTATTCATTCATTTATTGCTTCTCATTAATAAGGTGAATTTTAATAGGAATAACTATAGTCTTGCATTTCAGTTAAAAAAAACCTCAATGATCACAAGTACAAGATGGGGGTGAAAAAGATCTGAGGGTTTTAATGGACCCCCTTTTACCTAACGATATTCCTTGCAAGCTGCTGAACTCACTCTAAGCCATCTTTCTCTTTATTCCATCAGAGTCCAGCAATGAAAGTTCCTGTGTGGTTTTATTTCCCCCTCCCTGGGGCTTGTCATTCACTCTATTTCTCTTTCTTCCCTAAGTCAGGCTCTATGAAAAATTGTAAAGTAGTGAGTTTTTCTTCCTTGTCTTGTCTCCCTTCTCCCTCCATTAAGATATACATTTAGAGCCTTCATTCATGTGAGGTTGAAAAGGGACAGAACATGGGGCTAGATTTGTCAAGAATTCCTGGGTTCTATTTCTGCCTGTGACATTCGAGCAAGTCCTTGAGGGGGTTGCTTAACTTCATTAAGCCTCAGTTTCCTCATCTGTATAATGGGGCTGGTAGTACCTGTTAAACCTACTTCCAAGGGACATTGGTAGGGACCAAGAAGATCACGTTTGTAAGGTATTTTGCACCTTGGGTGTCAGTTAATTAGTGTAACTCTCAGGAAGAGTTAATGACTAAAAGTAGTGTTACCCTCCTGGGGTTATTTGCAGGTGAGTAGGGCCCAAAACATAGGGTTAGAGATTTTGTTACGGAAAGGACCTGAGATGTCATCTAGTCTAACCCCTTCACAAGGAAACTGAGTCACAGAAAGATGAAAAGACCAGCCCAGTGGAACAGTAATGGCAGAACCAGGAGCTGACTTGAGATCCTTGGACTTCTTCCTATTCCATCTGCTTATCAGGGGAACCTCAGTCATTGGCCCAGAGAGAATGAATCTTATTTGAGAATGGGGCTTCTCCCTGGGCCTGATTACATCTTAGGGGAGCTGGCCCACTGAAAAGTGCAACTGGCTTTGGTCATTGCCATCAGGGCACCTGCTGGTCCAGGTGCCCCTCAGCATCACCATGAGACCCACTGAACCCATCAAGGGGAAACTGGGTCTGTGAAGCCGCTATAATGGAGGTGCCTGATGGCTGCCTTCTGACGCAGCCACAATGGAGAGAAGAGAGATCACATCACATCCTTCAGTGTTCTTATGGCCCAAGACCTCAGGCAGCATGGCAGCATGACCCAGCACCCGAGACATCCCCAAGGACCATCACATCACAAATGCAGTCATAAGAGGAAGACTCTAAGGGCACCCACACACCAGATGCCTTATCTCACCTGCTTATCCTTGCTCCCCTCTCTCTCCTCTTTCTTTCTCCTCTTCCCTGCCTCCCTCTCTCATTTTTTCCTCCTTTTTTACTTTCTTCTTTTCTTTTATCCCCTTTATCTACTCTATTTTTCTCCTTCCTATTTTCCTTCTCCCCTTCCTTCCTCTCTACCCCTTCCTCTTTTCTTTCTTTCTCTCTCTCATTTCCCCCCTCCTTTTTTCTCCTGTCTTATTTTCTCCATCTCCCCTCTTCTCTATTCTTTTTGTGTTTATTTTTTCTTCCTTCCTTCTCCTTTCTTTTCTCCTCCCTTACTCTGGTCCTCAAGCCTTTCCTCCCCTGTCTCTTTTTTCTCTTCTTCCCTGCCTTTTGTCTGCCTTTCTCCCTCTCTCTCTGTTTGTAACCCCTCCCATTCTCTCTTTTCTCCTCCCTCTTTTCTTTTCTCCTCCTCTCCTCTTCACTACACTTTTTTGCTTTCCTCTTTCTCTCATTTTCTCCTCCTTCCCTTTCTTGTGTCTTTTTTGGTCACTCCCTCTCTTCCTCCTGAGTCCAAATCTGGTCTTACTGAATGAAGTTCATATCTGGCCTCTGATAATTACTAGATGTGTGACCCTGAGCAAGTCAACCTAACTTCAATTTGCCTCAGTTACCTCATCTGTAAAATGGAGATAATAACAGCATCCCCATCCTAGGGTTATTGTGAGGATCAAATGAGATCATAATTGTAGAGTGCTTAGCATAGTGTCTGGCACAAAGTAAGCACTATATACATGTTAGCCATTATGAATATCAGGGTA